TCTGGGCGACCAGCTGGCCTCTGTTCACCTTGGAAATGTGGGAGTTCACCTCTGCGCGTGTGTGGCCCTCCCCCTTGCTGTCCCGGGCGCTGGGCATCTACCTCCATCATCGGCTTTGAGCACATGCTGCCCCGCCCGTGTGGACCTGGTCCAAGTTCTGACCCACATGGCTCCAGGCTGGGGCAGAGGTGCTGGGAGGGCACCGGGCCAGTCTGCTTTTGACGCTAACGTGGGATGTTCCATGAGGACGGAGGCAGATAAAAGAGCACTGAAGACAGAGCTCGGCTAAAATGTGCATTCTGGAATCCCTGAAACCACTTATGTTGTTATTTATTTTCATGTTGTCTGTGTTATTTGAGCCGAGAGGAAAGCAGGCTGAGAAGCGGTGAGGTGGGGCAGTGGGGGCTCGTGGGCAACACTGCGTAGAGTCCTTCCTAGGGATTCTAAGTCCCCAGCATCCGTGGCACCCCTGTCTGGGGGTGCAGCTGGGGTACAGTGACATCAAGGGCATTCTTGGTTGGGGATGGTTTCTTGGCAGCGGGGGGGGGGGGATGTTAGGAAGAGGGAAGGATGGCCCTCAGGTTCCTTCTTGGGTAAGGGAACAGAGGTCTTTCTTTGCTGCCAATGGAAACTGACCTAAGCGATAAAAATGGGGTTTTCTGAAGGACGGTGGAAGCTCACACAAAGTGCCTGAGGACCAGGCCTTGGGGAGAGGGAGGAGGGTGGCTCCAGGGGTCTAAGGACACGGAATGAGGATGACTCAATGGCTGTGTATGACTCACTTTTGGCCTCTCCCACTCCCACGTGTACCCGTTAGATTCCTATTCCCAGGAGGGACGCTGATGAGCCAGGCGGGATCACACACCCCAGCTGAGGGGTCAAGGTCCAATGGCTCCAACCCACCCCCAGCTCTTGGCCTGGAAGGACCCAGGGAGATCAAGCAATTTCCCGTGAAGGAGGTTAGATAACTGTTGTCATCTTCACAAAGATCAGGATTACAGACTGATGGAGAAGAATTTAGGGTTTCACCGCTTCTTGGAAACCCTATGGGGCAGCTCTACTCTGTCCTATAGGGTCACTATGAGTTGGAATTGACTCGACAGCAACGGGTTTGGTTTTTTTGATACTATGCTGGAAGCTATCCACCAGTATTTCAAATACCAGCAGGGTCACCCATGGTGGACAAGTTTTGGCAGAGCTTCCAGACGAAGACAGAATAGGAAGAAAGGCCTGGCAATCTACTTCCAAAATCAGCCAGTGAAAACCTATGAATCGCAACAGAACACTGTCCGACACAGTGCTGGAAGATGATCCCCCTAGTGTGGAAGGCACTCACAGTACACAGTGGCTGCAACAATGGATTGGAGCACACCAATGATCGTGAAGATGGCACAAGACTGGGCAGTATTTCCTTCTGTCGTGCATGGGGTGGGTCACCATGAGTCAGAGCTGACTCGACAGCAAGTAACAACCACCATATTACCCTTGTAAAGCTCTTAGGAAGGGGTGGCTGTTTGGGGAATGACGACAATGTGTGTAAGCCACACAACGGCAGCTGCTGCCCCAGTGCCCCCAGGTCTCCCAGGAACGTTCCTACAAGAAAGGGGATTCTGGGAAGGCCGTTCGCCCAGCCCACTCAGCACATCACAAAGCCATGACGGGGAATTTCCCATTTCCCTCTGTATACTTCTGATTGTTTGCACCCTTTTACAATGTGATGACAGTAATGTAGTTCTTGTGAATTAAAAAAAATTTTTTTGAAATTGTTTAGTGAAAAAACAGGAAAAAAAAAAGGAAAGCAAACTCTCTAAGCAGTGAGGCTTCGCGTGCAGCTGTCTAGTTACAAACAGCTGTTGAGAAGGGGACCCGGTCCTTCCCCACTGCCTCCCACCTGCTCCCCGCACCGGCCCCTCTTGTCTGGGCTCTGCTGTTGCTCTCAGTGGTCCTCCTCCTGCCTGGCCTCACTCCAGCCTGCGTCCACATCAGCCAGAGTGATCTCTTCAAACTGGGAGTCAGGTCCTGGGGGGTTCCTCCTTGAACATGCCCCCTGACTTCTCACTGCCTCTAGGATGAGGCCATATATCCTAACTCCCTGCCCTGGCCAATAGCCTCTAACGGTGAGGCCTGCACAGCCTCGAGCCTCCCTCTCCTGGCGCCTCTGCTGTGACCTCTGGAGCCATTTTTCCTTTTCTCTAGCTCACCTGGCCCTATCTTGCTCCAGGGCCTTTACACACACACACACACACACACACACACACACACAAATTTCCTTGCCTGAATTGGAATGTCACTTTCCCAGAGGGGACTTGGCTTATTCCCCACGTTAAATCCTGCCTCCCCTCTCCCCCCTCTCCCCCCTCTGTCAGCAGCATGACTTCCGACTTCTGTGGTGTGGGAGCTCTGGGAGACGAATCCTTGGCTGGTCTTCCTATTCTGTTAGGAGCGGACAGGGAGCACCTACTCCTCAGAGGTGGTTTCGCTTACTTAAAGCTTATTTAAAACCAGAAAACCAAACCCCTTGCCGTACAGTCGATTCTGACTCCTAGCGGCCCTATAGGACAGAGGAGAACCGCCCCATACGGTTTCCTCGGAGCAGCTGGTGGATTCAAACTGCCGACCTTTTGGTTAGCAGCCAAGCTCTTAACCACTGTGCCACCAGGGCTCCAGAACTTAAAGTAGCCAAGAAATTACCCAGGGAAGGCCCACAAGCTGAGGGCATCTGTGTTAGTTCCAGAGGCCTTCGAAGATTTCCCACCAGTAATGTTCTGGAATTTTACCAGAGCAGCTTCAACAGGATGTGCTGGGGTTAAGGTGAGGGTGAGGACGAAGCAGACAGTACAGTCTGGCGGCAGGAGCATGTGGTCTGGATTTGGGGAAGAAAACCTCACACTGTAATCACAGGTGTGCTGAGTGCTACAGAGGGTGCCGGCATCATGTGGCTCAGGAACGCCTGGGCCAAGGAGGAGTCGGCTCGAGAGGCTTCCCCAGGATGCCAGTGCCAGAGCGTGGACGAGATGGCGACCTCATCTCACGACTCCCCTGTTGGTGCTCCACTACCTTGGCCAGTGATGGAGTCACACTGGTCTTACTCACTCTGTTTCTTAGAGGCAAACACGAATCCCTTCTAGAAAGCCTTTCCCTTCGCCTTCCTGATCTGGGCTGCAGTAACAGCATCTCTCTAACCAGCCATAATCAGAGGCGTCTTGGCCCAGGCGGCAGCTGTCTGGGGGCACACGTGCGCCTGCCCTCCCTGCCCCTCTTAACATTTACCTTTGTCCTTTGACTTGTCACTTCTGTCCCCCACCACGGTCATTAGCTACTGAGACAACTGAGTGGGGGCTGGTACGTTCTCAACTCCTGAAAATGGGTAGACCGTTTTATTTTTCACTTCTGGAAACACAATGGGCGTGTTTTGTTTATTTTTCACGATACTGGTAGAAACTATTAACTTGCATTTATTGAGCACTTACTGTATCCACTCCCCATCTGCCAGTTGGTCACACTGTGGTGGCTTGCCCGTTGCTGCGATGCTGGAAGCTATGCCACCAGTATTTCAAATACCAGCTTGGTGGACAGGTTCCAGCCGAGCTTCCAGACTAAGACAGACTAGGATGAAAGGCGGCTTGGCAATCTACCTCCAAAAATTAGCCAATGAAAACCCTATGGATCACAACAGAATACTGTCTGATCCAGTGCTGGAAGATGAGCCCCCTAGGCTGGAAGGCACTGAGAATGGACAGCGGCTGCAGCAGTGCACCGAAGCACACCAGTGATCACGAGGACACATTTTGTTCTGTAACACATGCGGTCGCCATGACTTGGAGCCAACTCGATGACAACCAACAACGATGTGCTCTGTACTTCAGTTCTCACCAGACCCCATGAGACATTCCCATTGTAAAGGTTAGGACACCGAGGCGCCGCACGGTTAACTTGTCCACTGTCACACACTGTTCCTGGCTTAGATCCTACACCTTGGTGCCTTCTGGAGGGTCCTGGTGCTCCAGGTCAAGGCATCCAGGCCCCAGCCTCGAGGAGAATGGCTTCCAGGGACAGCTTCTCAAGCCTTTGCAGCATGAGGCTTGGCTCCTGGGAGTCAGGGTCCCCCCTCACCTTGGGTATGGGGGTGGGGAACGAGTCCTCAGCTAACCAGGATAAAGAAGGGCACGACCTTAGCGGATGTCTCACTTGCCCGCCCACCCACCCACCTGCCCAACACCTTCAGCTCTGACATAAATGAACAAAGCTGAAAAATCAGTTTCAAAGCTGATTTCAGTGGTTCATTTCAGAGCTCACTGCAGCTTTAATCACCAACATTCAACTATTTTTCTGGAAAATGCCTACCATTTCTTCCCAAGCCCTGAGCAGCTTGGGAACGCTCACCTGGATTAGAGGCAGCCCTGAAGAATAAGCTCAAATTGGTCATTATTCCCTGAAGAAAGAACCTTGATATTTTCACAGGCCTCTAAAGCACACTCTAACATTTTGATTTGGGCCTGCAGTACAATGACGCGAAGCTGTCCTGCCTCCAGGTGCGGGTACTTCTGCTTCACTGCTCCAGCGCACTCAAGGGTGGCGAACGGAAGAGACAAGTCGGGTATTTAGTGTTCTGTGATGGAGTTTATAAGTATCCCAATTAGTTACGTCCCAGGATATTAAGAATTCTGTTCATCATCTCTTGTCGCCGTTCCCAGCTCTGTAAACACAGGGCCCTCGTTCTTGATAGATTCAGGTTTTCTGGTTTATTTTCCCGCCGAGGTACTTAATCAAGGAACGCAAGCCATTTGCTTTCCCCGGTCTTCCTCTTCCAATCTGGAGATCGTGATGGAATCTTTCTTTGTTTTCATTCTGCCTCTAAACCCTTCCAAGGAGTGGGGTCCAGGGGACATGGCCCCGAGGACGGAGGGGCCCTCTCCCGCCAAGAGTTGCCCCCAGTACCAGCGTGCCCCTACCGCCATGAAGGATGGACTAAACATGTGTGTTCCTGTGGTTTCTTGCAGAGTTGGTGATGCTGCTGGAGTGGTGGTCAGGGACGGAGTGCACCCTCTACACAGACCCCCGAGACTATCCCAAGTACGGAAAGGAAAGCGCCATCGTGGTTCTGAACCACAAGTTTGAGATTGACTTTCTCTGTGGCTGGACCTTGGCTGAACGATTTGGGGTCTTACCGGTAAGTTGGATCCTACTTACCTGCATCACACCTTTCTCTTGTTCTGGACTGTAACTGGCCTTCTCGCTCTCGTTCATTCAGAATTTGTAGAAGCATCGACCAAGTTTCTAACCAACTGTGTTTCATTCTTGCTTGACATTGGGCTCACCATCCTCTTTGGGGCAGTAGTAACAGTTATTCAACAATTACTATGTGCCAGGCATTTTGCAATCATTTAATCCTTACAGAAAAACTTACGAGGAGATAATACTACCCACCTACCCCCCTTTTCAAAACTAAGTTATAGAGAGTTTAAACATTTTTCTGAAGGTCACACTGCTATCAATTAGATGTGTGTTTGAACTCATGTCCAGCTGGACTCTGGTTCACATTCTTCATTGCTATACTTTACTGCTTCCATGGCTAACAGGCAGAATTCACCCCTCAGTTTTGATCTTCATAGACTTAAGAACAAATTGACCCCGTAAATGAGAGCTTGAATTCCAAAATTGAGAGTCAAATATAAAATTCCGTTTTTCTTCAACTAGTTTGACTTCTTACATATAACATGCAAATGATTAAGCTACATAAAAGGTATAACTATTTTATACCTTTTGTGTTATTATCCATGTTAGTATTGTTTATAAACATATCCATGAAGCTCAGGGCAATGTACGTAAAAAATGGCATAACCGATATTGTTTAAAAGTTCGCAAAAGTAGAGTAGTGACAAATTTTGTGTGTGTTTTTTTTTTAATAAAAATCATATTTTATATGGAAAAATATTTGGAACTGGGTCTTTTAATTTGATGTTTGTTAAAGATAACAAGCAGAAAAGTGTTTAGTGGTTGAACCTGTGTCAGCTAACGAATCAGAGTTCTCAAGACAGTTGGGTACACCAACAGGAATCAGCATATGTTGGCCCAGGGCTAGGAAAGGCTGTGACCACTTATGACCCAGAAGTTGGAGACCCTGCTTTGCACCTGGGAACAATCCCACACAGACAGACAGGGGGCTGCTTACATCACACCTGGTGTTGGTGGCCCCTGTAGACTGAAGATGGACTCGGAGAGAACAGATGGGACTAGGAGATGCAGCAGGTCTGCTCCCCCGGACAGGTGACCACAGCTTTGTTGGTCTCATTCCCGGTCAGCATGCCATGTCTCAGAGTCGGGCACCAAAACTTGGGGCCCTGCTTCACTCTGCCCTGTTTGGAATACCCTAGCTAAGAATGACTAGCTAACCTTGGGATGCCTTTTGTATGTGCTTGTAACCATTTACGTATTTTTTAATTGGGGGCAGAAGGAGAGACAAGGAAATGTGCTTGGAAACACATCCTGTTAACGTCTTTAGGATAAATGATGGTGGTGGTCATGCAGTTCAACTACCAAAAGGCAACTAAGGTCTTTAGCACGTTTTCCAGAGGCAGAAACAGTGAGTGAAGTCACTGTTGTTGCCTTAAGACTTCTAGAAAACTGTATTGACTGTGGGTGAATGTGTTAAAGGAACTTCTAGGAAAATGGCAGGTCCTCCTGCCAACGGTTTTCTCCTTTGTTTTCCTATTTATGCTTCCAGTGCTGCCTTGATAATCTCTACGTATGTGTGTATGCACGTGTGTGCCCAGGTGCATGTGTGCATGCACCTGTGTGTGGATGTGTGTGTGTGTGTGTGTGTGTGTGCATGCTCAGATATATTTCCAGGAACAGAAATGAAGAGTAGTACCAACCTTTCCCTGTTTTAGAGACCCTGGGCGGGGGGTCTCAGTTTTGTGGGTTCATTCTCTCTGAGAGGAGATTGTCGTTGTCAGGTGCCGTCGAGTTGGTCCCAACGCAGAGCCATCCTCTGCACAACAGAACGAAACACTGCCCGGTCCTGCACCATCCTCACAATCCTTATTATGCTTCAGGCCATCGTTGCAGCCACTGTGTCAATCCGTCTCATCGAGGGTCTTCTTCTTTTACGTTGAGCCTCTGCTTTACGAAGCACGATGTCCTTCTCCAGGGACGGATCCCTCCTGATAACATGTCCAAAGTCTGCGAGACAAAGTCTTGCCATCCTTGCTTCTGAGGAGTATTCTGGCTGTACTTCTTCCAAGACAATTTGTTCATTCTTCTGGCAGTCTATGGTATATTCAAGATTCTTCAAAAACACCATAATTCAAAGGCGCCAGTTCTTTTTGGTCTTCCTTATTCCTAGTCCAGCTTTCACATGCATAGGAGGCAACTGAAAACACCATAGCTTGGGTCAGGTGCACCTTAATCTTCAAGGTGACATCTTTGCTTTTTAACACTTTAAAGAGGTCTTTTGCAGCAGATTTGCCCAATACAATCCGTCATTTGATTTCTTGACTGCTGCTTCCATGGGTGTTGATCGTGGATCCAAGTAAAATGAAATCCTTGACAACATCAATCTTTTCTCTGTTTATCATGGATGTTGCTTATTGGTCCAGTTGTGAAGATTTTTGTTTTCTTTACGCTGAGGTGTAATCCATACTGAAGGCCTTTGATCTTCATCAGTAAATGCTTCAAGTCCTCTTCACTTTCAGCAAGCAAGTTGTGTCATCTGCATGACGCAGATTGTTAATGAGTCTTCCTGCAATCCTGATGCCACGTTCTTCTTCATAGAGTCCAGTTTCTCTGATTAACTGCTCAGCATACAGATTGAATAAGTATGGTGAAAGGATACAGCCCCAACGCACACCTTTCCTGACTTTAAACCACACAGCATCCCCTTGTTCTGTTCGAATGACTGCCTCTTGATTTATGTACAGGTTTCTCATGAGCACAATTAAGTGTTCTGGAATTCCCATTCTTCACAATGTTATCCATAATTTTGTTATAATTCACACAGTCAAATGCCTTTGCGTAGTCAAGAAAACACAGGTAAACATCTTTCTGATATTCTCTGCTTTCAGTTAGGATCCGTCTGACATCAGCTATGATATCCCTCATTCCACGTCCTCTTCTGAATCCGGCTTGAGTTTCTGGCAGTTCCCTGTTGAAGTAATGCTGCAGCTGCTTTTGAATGATCTTCAGCAAAATTTTACTTGTGTGTGGTATTATTAATATTGATCAGTAATTTCTGCATTTGGTTGGATCACCTTTCTTTGGAATAGGCATAAATATGAATCTCTTCCAGTCAGTTGGCCAGGTAGCTGTCTTCCAAAATTCTTGGCATAGGCTAGTGAGCACTTCTAGCACTGCATGCATTTGTTGAGCACTGCATCTGTTTGTTGAAACATCTCAATTGATATTGCTTCAATTCCTGGAGCCTTGTTTTTTGCCAACGCCTTTAGTGCAGCTTGGACCTCTTCCTTCAGTACCACCGGTATCCTCAAGGTCGTATTTTGGCTCTTGTGGACTTGTTCTAATTTTCTTCAGCTTCAATTTCAACTTGCATATGAGCAATTGATGGGCTGTTTCACAGCTGGCCCCTAGCTTTGTCCTGACTGATGATTTGAGCTTTTCCATCGTCTCTTTTCACAGATGTAGTCGATGTGATTCCTGTGTATTCCATCCGGGAGCTTCACATGTATAGTCACTGTTTATGTTTTGAAAAAAGGTATTTGCAATGAATAAGTCATTGGTCTTGCAAAATTCTGTCATGCGATCTCCCGCATTGTTTCTGTCTGCAAGGCCTTATTTTGCAATTACCGATCCTTCTGTTTCCAGCTTTCGCATTCCAATCACCAGTAATTATCAGTGCATCTGATTGCATGTTCCATCAATTTCAGAGTGCAGAAGTTGCTAAAAATCTTCAGTTTCTTCATCTTTGGCCTTAGTGGTTGGTTTGAATAATAGTCGTATTAACTGGTCTTCCTTGTAGGTGTATGGATTTGATCCTATCACTGACAGCATTGTACTTCAGGATCCATCTTGAAATGTTCTTTTTGACGATGAACACAGCGCCATTCCTCTTCAAGTTGTCATTCCCGGCATAGTAGACCATCTGATTGTCCGATTCAGAAGGGCCAATACCAGTTCATTTCAGCTCACTAATGCCTAGGATATCCATGTTTATGGGTTCCATTTCATTTTTGACGATTTCCAATTTCTTAGCTTCATACTTTGTACATTCCACATTCCGATTATTAATGGATGTTTGCAGCTGTTCCTTCTCGTTTTGAGCTGTGCCACATCAGCAGATGAAGGTCCTAAAAGCTTGATTCCATCCACGTCATTAAGGTCAACTCTAGTTTGAGGAGGCAGCTCTTCCCCTGTTGTCTTTTGAGTGCCTTCCAACCTGAGGGGCTCATCTTCCGGTGCTACATCAGACAACGTTCTGCTGCTATTCATAAGGTTTTCACTGGCTAATTCCTTTCAGAAGTAGACCGTTAGGTCTTTCTTCCTAGTCTGTCTCAGTCTGGAAGCTCAGCTGAAACCTGTCTGCCATGGGTGACCCTGCTGGTATTTGAATACCGGTGGCATAACTTCCAGAATCACAGAAATATGCAAGCCCCTCCAGTACAACAAACTGAGAGACGCATAGGGGCTGAGAGGAGAAGACCCCTCAGAATACCTTAATCCTAACCCCATCATGGACACCAGTGATTAATAATAGGATCATTCTTCACTTCCAGGAGAAAGGGCATGTAGTGACTTTTCATCTTGGCTATGACAAAACTGCCTTTAGCACCTTAGATCTAGGCTTTTCTGACATGCCAGCCTGTCCTGGAACACCGGTTCTCAAAGTGTAGTTAGAGGCTGCGTGATATTTCCGGGGCTTTCCAAGTGGTTTTTGATAGTGTTCATGCTTACCATGTGAGAATGGTTATAATTTGTGGGACAGGAGTCCCTGTGGTATAGCATAAAGTCTAGTGGACTTGGAGTCACTTTAAATTCCAGCTCAAGTCCTTTGATCAGTCACACCAGCTACTCTTTCTGTGTGCTTCCACTCACCTGAGTTAGGCTATGCCTGACCCCTATGATACTGTTATCTGCATTTTATAAGTTAACTCCAGAGCCTCAGTTTAGTTAAACAATTTGCCCCAGGACGGTTGTTAGCAAGTCTGATCTCCAAGCCTCTGCTCTTGCCCCTGGAAGGTGCTGGGAGGAAACGCTGAAGGGCAGCCAGGCCTTGAGACCTGCTGCAGAGATGGGCCTGGCATTAGCGTCTTCAGACACTGGGACGCATGATGGGGACAGGCCTTCAACACCCCTCCCAGCTCAAGATCTGCAGGGCTCATTCCAGGGTGGAAGTCACCGGGGCCTTCTGGAGCAGGAAGGAACTAACCAAGCAGAGAACCTTGGAGAAGCCCACAGGCAGTCCAGAGTCGGATGATGGAGGGGAGACAGACACAATAGGAGAAAAAGATGAACGCTGGCCATCAACATGGAGGAGAAATACATGGAGAAGAAGGGAGAAAGCGAGAGGGAGGGAGTGATACATACACAGAGGGCTAAGTCCATCCCAGGACCGTCTGGGCTTTTACTACTAAAAGCTTCGACATCTGGGGTCATTGCACAACTATAAGCCCAGTGGAGTATTGCTTCTTTTTAAATCTGCTGGTGAACGGATCACTGAGCAGAAGGGCCTATGGCAGAGAGATTTTTTCATCTCCAACTTAATTTCTTAAACGAATACCATGTTTATAGAATCTATAAGATTATTATTATTTAAAAAAACAACAACTAAAGTTGAGTGTAAAGGGGTGTGAATGTTCCCATTTATTTTGGAGAATATATCTATAACCTGCCCAGAGGTGGTCTTAAAACCTTTGCCCAGATTGATGTGTCTCCCACCAGCACTGGGATTTTGAGAGCTCTGCTCAGCGGAGCCCTTGGGTTTTCTGGTTTCTTGCTAAAATGCTTCCTGAGCCCCTGATTTGCCTCAGGGCTCTTCCCGGAGGGTAGTGAGGGTGAACAGAAGGGCAAATCACTTTTCCCTTTTCTTCATACACTACAGATACATCCAGAACTGTTGCCCTACACTTTCTAATGAAGCAAAGTGTTAGCAGAGAGCAGGCACCCAGGAGAGGGTTAGGGGAGGGAGCCATCCACCTTTCTGGGGAGGCGGGCCAACTCTGGTGGAAGCGACCAGACTATGTCCTCCCAGGGAATGTCCTCTATATGTAGCAGGGGACGGTCCTGCCATCTGTGTAGCCCTCTTAAAGGAACTGGGTCCACTTATTGTAGGTGATGTTGGGCGATCCCCAGCCTCTTTCCAAAGTGACCAGTTAATTTCTGCTCCCCTTGAAAGTATAAGCGGCTTTCTGTAATTGTTCAGCAGTATTTTTTTGTCTTAAATTGCTTTCAAACACATACACACACATTATCCATTTTCTTCTTTTTTTTTTTAAATAATACATGATGTTGAGATCCTCCTGGACTCTGAGGAGTTTGCTTTTCAAAGAAGAGAGTAAAAGAGGGTTTCTGACCAGTCACTTTTCATCTTCACATGTAACAGCCTAAGAGGAAATGAGTCTAAGTTGAAATAAATGAAATCTGCAGAAATTCTTGAGTGGGGTTATTAAACGTCGATTTTGGGGTGGGGGGGCGATAAGTGGTAGGATTTAAAAAAAAAAGGCAGCAGCAACTTTCCACCTTGAACCCCTGGGGTCCAGAGGCCGGAGGCTGTTCCCAAGGTCTTTCCAGGATGTTCCTGTTGTCCTTGTAGGTAGTGCTTGATGCACGACCAGTGCCCCCGAGGCTGGGTCATGATGCTTGAGCTGTACACTCAGCCTTGCTCTGTGGGGTGAGGGTGACCTGCAGACAGTGTGTACCACTAAGTGCAGAAGAGATTTAGGCATAAAATCCAAGGACCAAGGTTCCTGAAGCTTCCAGTCCCTGTTTACTTATCTGTTGCCTCAGTGAACTATGTCTGTCACTTATCACTGGCTCCAGAAGGTTGTGTAAGATCCGGTTTGTCAAGTGTCCGAGCTGTGCCAGCCCGTGGTAACCACGCCCTGCACGGTAGCTCTTATCATCCCTATTTATCTGCTGGGGGAATTGTGCCTCTCAGGTCAGTGCTGAGGCCATCCAGGATACTCTCCTACGATCCTTCAAGAAGCCATATGTATGTGTCATCTATTGGTGCCTGGCAAGCCCCAAAACTCAGCGGCTTCAGACAGCAAACGTGTCATCTCAGTTCTTGTGGTCTGGTCAGGGTTGGCAAGGGTGGTGTCTCATCTGAAGGCCTGACTTGGGGTGAGGAGGGGGGTATGCTTCCGAGCTCATGCACGTGTTTCTGGTGAGGTTTGCCCTGGATTCCTAGGGCCGCCATAACAAAATACCACAAAGGGTGGCTTTAAAGAGCAGGAACATAATGTCTCACTGTTCTGGAGGTTGGGTGTTGGCCGTGTCGATTCCTTCTGAGGGCTCTGAGAGAGGGGCTGTTCCATGCCTCTGTCCTAGCTTCTAGTGGCTCCCAGCAATCCTTGGCCCTCCTTTGGGACTTGTAGATGAATCTTCACATGGTGTCTTCTTCCATGTGTGACTCTCTCCCTGTCCTAATTTATAAGACACTATTCAGAAGGGATTAGGACTAGGACCCGTCCTATGCTAGCATTTTCCCAAACAAGGCCACATTCACAGGAAATGTTTCCTTAGGACTTTGGAGTCTTCTTTTTCTAGTAAGTTCTCCAGCAGCCAAGAGGGACGACCCATCAACCCTGGTCATGGCCCCTGTGGCCCCTCCCTCTCTTTCAGGCCTCCAAAGTTCTGGCCAAGAAGGAGCTGGCCTATGTCCCCATCATCGGCTGGATGTGGTACTTCCTGGAGATGGTCTTCTGCAAGCGCAAGTGGGAGGAGGACCGCAAGACAGTCCTGAAGAGCCTGCTCAATCTCCGTGATTACCCTGAGAAGTTTTTTGTACGTAACGCTGCACCTCACCTCACTGGCCCCCAATATCACTCACTCCCGCTAGGGGACACATCCTTACACACTCCTAACACCTTCCTTGCCCACCTGTGTCCTGTCTAAGTAAGCATATTGGTTTAAAAGTAAACCCTCAGGGTGCTCCTCTCTCTCCCATCACACACATACACACTCTGTCTCACAGTCTCTCTCACACACACACACACACAGTCTCTCACACACCAGTCTCTCCCTCCTTCCCATACAGTCTCTCACACTCTCTTTCACACACAGTCTCTCTCGCTCACACACACCAGTCTTTCTTTTACACACACACATACACACAAGTCTCTCTCACACACCAGTCTCTCACATACCAGTCTCTCTTACACACACAGTCTCTCACACAGTCTCTCTCACACACAGTCTCGCTCACACTCCAGTCTCTCACATCAGTCTCTCACACAGTTTCTCTCTCACACAATCTCTCACACACAGTCTCTCTTCCACACAGTTTCTCTCTCACACAATCTCTCACACACAGTCTCTTACACACCAGTCTCTTTCTCTCACACACAG